GAATGAGGCCGTTCTAGATCTGGACAATCTGGAATGAGGGCAACTCCATTAATATTGCACATGGGAAGCTGAACAAGAAGTCAGGAACCATGGAGAAGGTGATCAGTGGTTGCCTTCCACCGAGGAACTGGTCGCCTTCTCTGGTAGATGGCGACTAGCGACGGTTCGACCGTCGCCGGTCGCAGGATTTTCGCCAGATAAGATGCCTGAACTGAAATGACATGTAATAGCAGGTCATTTATCGGTTCTTGGCCTTTATTGCCTCAATTTAACATGTTAAATGATATAATTGTATTTTTTTAAAAGTTTAGAGACCTAATTGACTTTTTAGGTAAAGTTTAATGACTTATTTGACCATTTTACCTGACAGTAATAATAATAATAATAATAATAATAATAATAATAATAATAATAATAATAATAATAATAATAATAATAATAATAATAATAATAACAATAATAACAATAATAACAACAACAACAACAACAACAACAACAATAATAATAATAATAATAATAATAATAATAATAATAAAGACACGTGTCAATATGAGAATAACTAACATGCTAGACAGGGGATCTCAATTGAACAATTTTACCAATTTAAGGAATTTAATTGAAGCTTTTATTACTTAGGAGATCCAACTGTGGACCGACTTAGGGGGCTAATTTGCCCCCTCCCCCCCCTCCCCCCCCCCCCCCCTTTTTTTTTTTTAATTTAAATTTAATAAAGAGAAATTCGAAATCACTATTTGAAAGTATATGTGATAATTTTACTACTCTAAGTGTAACTTTTAAGTATAAGTTTCAAGTATATAAATAAAAAGTTTCATTCAAAAAGTATTTAATATATATTTTTAAAATAAAATTATTTGCTAACATTTAGTTGATGTTCAAATTTTTGCGTGAGTAATTGAGTTTTTCAGTTTCTTGTTTTTAGATTAACTTTAAAAAGAGATTGACAAGTGTGTATAGTAAGAGGTAAGGTGAGTGGTTGGGCACTTGGGCATACATATGACAAGGATTGTGAGAAGAAAAAGAAGAGTATATTGCTTGCATTTGAATTAATACAAGTGATATTACGAAAGGTAAATCTTTAAAATATTGTAAAGAGAGAAATCAACTAAAAAGTTTTTTATCCCAATTTATAATTGAAAAAGTAATATTTTTTATTAATGTGTGAAAGGTACTAAGATATAAGGTCTATGTTTAACGACATGTCTTCTATCGCATCTTTTGAGTAACATTTCCTTGAGCTATAGGCCGATCAAGTTACTCAATTAAGGTAGTCAAGGCTATCTGATCGAAGGTTAGGCTCGATCATCCACTTAATGTCTTTATTAGTTTGCATTTCAAACTCAACATAAAATTGGGTAAAATATATATGCAAGAACTAATGAAAACTGTCTATAGAAAAAGTGAATTGTTACAAGACACTTGTTGGCAATTAATACCTTTCTAGCCTCAAGTTGATTGGTCACATACTCACATGCATTAGCGGCTGGTCTCGCTTGCCTCTCGAGCAACTTGTAACTGCACTTGTTCCTTACACCGTACCACAATCAGACTTGCATCTATCACCCATCTCAATCCCATGTAATCGCGCAATCGCACTTTCTCACTGCACATCCATCTCCATCATCTTGACCTTCCGAATATCGGTCTTTAATTTAGCCCAAAATATTAATTCTTTAGCCAATCTAATACCTCATCAGAACTAATCAATACACTAAAAAAAAAACAACTAAATTAAAGTTGAATTCAAACATCTAATTGAATATGCAATAATATCACTTAATACTCACTCAGATGGTCCCCCACCGTACCCTAACCCAAAAAGAAAATCTGGATATTAAACTCTCTTATTTATATAGTAGTTAGATCAACATTATTGCATCAGATCATCAATTATACTGTTTGACTATATGACATTTTAAAATAATGTTGGACTGTGGATACACTGCACTCAAGATTTGGCATGCACGTGGGCATGTGTTAAAGGAAGCTGCGGGGGAACTCTCTCAATGCGGACCACCGATCCCCACGCCACATAAAATAACACTAAGGGGGCGTTTGGTTCAGGTTATATAACATAACCAAGGGAATGTGACATTCCAAAGCTCACATTCCGGTGTTTGGTTCATATTATCTTAGGGAATCTAACATTCCCAAGGAATGTCACATTCCCTCCATATAGGATTTTGAAGGGAATGTGATTCCCTTCAAAATCTTATGTAATGTAAGATAACCAAGGTTATGTTAGTTTATTATATATATATATATATATATATATATATATATATATATATATATATATATTATGTTATGTTAGCATATAAAATAATTTTGTTTCTCAAGTTCAAGATTTTAGTTATTATTTTAAAATCATGTAATTATATATGATACAGTTATCTTATTTATTTATTTTAATTTTTAAATTTATTAAAATATATGAAAATATGTTAAGGATATTATAGTATGTATAAAAGATAACTCTAAACCAAACATGATTATATCACATACACAAATTTAAACCAAATACAGGAATTTAACATTCCCAGTAATCTAACATTCCCAGCAATCTAACATTCCCTAAGGTAATCTGACATTCCGTGAACCAAACGATCCCTAAGGATATATAACCAATGCTCCGACACTCCTTCTTGTACATATATATTTAATTTCTCGCTGCTAAATTGATGCCGAGTAATATATATTATTACTCAATATTCAATTTAATCTAAACTGTTCTCATTTTTACGAATAACGATTTTATTATATCCCGGCCTAATAAAAAAAGTGATAAAAATAATAGTAGTACATGGAAACCAATCACTAAGAATTATTGATTTGTTTAATTTCGACTATGTCATGCTAGATTGCTAGCTCCTTTATTTTCTTTTTGTATCTCTACATCTACTAGAGTATATTATAGTGTCCTAACATTATTTTCTTTTTTAGAGTATGATTGATTCTATTACGTACAATATAATATTTCTTCATATATATTTTCTCAATCTATTGAAATACAAAGAGTTAATATCATAACACTCTCACTTGGACTCCAACATTATTTTTTTTAGAGATATGTATCCTAATGTTCTCCCGTTTTATATATTTTTCTCCCTTATGTAGGAAACTATTGACTTATTGGTAGTGGATTAGTGGGTAGTTGTGTAAAGTTTGTAGTGAGTATTTGTAGGATTTCATTCTTTTATAATTCTAGTTTGAATATGTGATTTTTTTTGGAACTCAAGTTCAATTCTCCAGTTTCGTCAAATTATATTCTAGATTCTATGAACTTGTCCCGAGACCCAAACTCCTAATGTTGGGATAGGAATCAAACTCCACTCCACCCACCACGGAAAGTAAGACTTAAATGAGACTTTTCATTTATACACTAATGTCATGTGAGCTAATTTCTTTATTATTATTATTATTATTTTGAATTGGCAACTTCGTATTGAAGTAAGAAATACATAATTTTTTTCCTTATATATATATATATATATATATATATATATATATATATATATATATATAATTTATGGTGATGATAAACTCAAAGAAATGACATAATATAGTATTTGGATAATTCAAAAGGGCACATAGAATTGAAGACTTGCAAGGAAGAACAATTCTAGAAATAGTCAAATCTATCAATTTTTGGTGCAGGTGGAAACAAGAAGTAGCTAGTCATCAGTTATATATGTCGTCGCAGCTTTACTTAGCTCATAAATTTCTATTTTTAGTTATATATGAACTCAAATTAAAAGAAGCACTTAATTACTAGCTATATGAAGTACAAATTAAATATATGCTAAGAATATATATATATATATATATATATATATATATATATATATATATATATATATTAGTGATGAGAACCACACCCTCTCCATGAATCAATGAGAACCAATATGGTGTATTAAAAATCAGAATTATAAATGAGATTAATTAAGAGAAAATGCGAGTTTACATATATATAACTAATCCTATAAACTATATATAAAAAAAATGGAATTTTATTTCTTACCATACTAGTATTTGAAACATTTTGATGATAGGATGGATGTTGAAATTAGTACTCTAAACTTTCCTCCAACAAGTAGAGATACAAACCCGAACTCTTTTCCAAAGTGATAAGAAGAATGGTTTATAGAAGCTAATACGTTCTACTAAAGTTAACTACCCCAATAAGAACATAACAAGTATTTAAAGACAAGTAATATGTTAGAACATTGGAGGTTTTGAACTAGAATATTGAAAAATGACGGAAAGTTATTATTGTCTGTCTTGATACTAGTGATAACTCTTTACTTTGTCTCTTTGTGACCCTTGATTCGGAACTAAATACCAAATTAGATAGCCTGGCCTAATCCCAAAACACTAATCTCAACTTATTAGAGCAACTTCAAGAGAATTTTTTATGAGTTTTTTTAAAAATAATTTTAGTTTAGGTGGACGAGTGAGGCAAAATCAAGTTTTTTTGTAGTGAACCTGACCTACTGACAAAGTAAAATAAAAAATATTTACAACATTTACGTCTTGGGCGCACTTACCGCGCCCAGCAAGCGCGTGCACTACACACAGTTTCTGGGTGCTAAACACCTTTTTTTTTGTGCTTTTCTTTTCTTTTCTTTTTCTTTTTTTTGCTTCTCTTAATTTTCTTTGTTTTTTCTACACTAGGGTAAAACATTGAATTGCAACCAAATTTTTTTTTATAGCTGCCGTCAAAAAAAAGGAAGACGGCTCAATTATGGATGAGGAAGTCAATTTCAACATGTGGACAAGAGGCCAATTCAATTGGGGTGGTTCTAGTAGTAGTAAGCAAATAAAACTTTCCCCAATATCATATAGCCTTTAATTCCGCTAAGATCAAATCCAAGACCTTCTTATCAATTCAAATTGAATGACATATATATATATATCTATCTCTATAGTGTATACACACAATCACGCTTACCCCCACCCACCCTACCCCCCCCCCCCCCCTCCTTCCTCTTTTTGTCATTCCAGCGTGATCTTAGCTCGTGCTTTTGCCCTTTTTTCATTTTCCTTTAAGCTCTCACTCTATTTATCATCAACTTATTACAACAAACACAACCTTAAAGGACAAAGATAGAGCTGAGGCGGAAGCTAGAGACCGAAACCCTCTGATCTTTCTCTCTAACAACTTAAAACAAAACCCTTTTGTTGTTCGATCTCTCGATTTTATGAGGATTTTTTGTTCTTAGCTCTCCCCGATACGTAGTCAAAGGTTGTCTACTTGTCTCGATCTCAAAGCAAGAAAAGGTGGATAAACGGCATGGAAAACGCCCACTTCCAATGGATGCACCGCCGGAGAAAACCCACGACTTCGATTCTTACTCCTCCGCCGCCACCGATACCGGAATCGTAACCTCCGCTTCGCCGTCGCCCACCGCCGCTCAACCGGTGCAAGAACAAGGTTAGTTAGTCTATATTTTTTTTTTTCCTAAAAATAAAGATTATTGAATCCATAGCTCCTGATCCGATTTGAAATTTTATTTTCATTTTCTCCAAATTATTTTTTTTTATCTTTTTTTTTTCAATTTTTATATGTCATGTGGGAAAAGAATTTGTTGCTTTGCTTGACAGGTTCATTGTATGTGACTTTCGACTTTCCGTAAAGAACTATCTCTCTGTATATATGTCGCCACCTCGATCTCCCCTTCTTTAATTATGGGAAATTATATTAATTTGGCTGCCCAGCTCTAATAACTATATTATTCTCCCCAACTAATTTAAGGAACAAACGTCTCTATATAATTGGCTTCATCGTCAATTATCATCGTCCAATCCGAATTACAAGCGAAGCAATAATCAGTTATCATTAAAAAAAAAAATGTTTTTTTTAAGGGTACCCTATGTGTGTGTAGTCATGTGTTCCATGTGGATGGTTTGGTTTTGGCAGTCATTGTCGTCCAATTTATTTGTTCTTTCCTAAACTGCCATCGTGTTTATCGTTTATGACTAGTATAGCTATGCTATTTTGCCCATCACCAAACTTTTTTTTGTGTGTCAAAGAATTTGTATTGTTTGATGTGATATATGTCTTGAAGTGCCACGATTCTTCGTCATTATACATATTTGTATGTCTATGAATCGGTTGGTCTCATGAGATGTAATTGCGTTAATATATAGGGCATGTTTTTATAGATGTAGCATCGTCCATAATCAGGTGCAAACTGATCTTAATCTGCAAACTCCTGAATGATTGCACCGCATTTATTATATAATTGCACTGCACCCAGATATGATTGCACCACAAGGTCATCCAAATATGTTTGGGAGCCATAGCGGTGCAATCATGTGCTAATTGTTGTGCAATCCTTCAGAAGTTTACATATTAAGATTGGTTATCACCTGATTATGATTCTATGTAGCATTATGGGGTGGCCAGGAAACAAATCATATGTTAATTTTTTTTAAATGACGATGAAAATCCACAACTATTACTTAGGGGTGTGTATTAACTATTAAGTAAACCAATCATATGTTAATTTACCTATATATATATATATATATATATATATATATATATATATATATATATATATATATATATATGCATGTTTTGCTTGGATTAGGGTGGGGTTGGGGTTGGAAACTTGGAATTATACAATGCCACAAGACTCCTACATGCATGCCTCATAGTTTTACATTTTATTTAGGACTTGTCATTTATGAATGTCTAAGATATTTAATTTGTGTTATTCTATATATGCATTAAAGTTGTGCAAAATTGGTCGAGCTAGATACAATTAACCTAATTTATAATGATATTATTTAGTGATGTTTTTTTTTTTTTTTTTTTTTTTTTTTTTTTTTTTTTTTTTACAAACATTCATTTACTTTACTTTTAAGAGAATATGAGAATATTTTGAATTAATTATTATATATATCTTTGATCAAGTGAACTAAGATAAGTTAAGAATTTCTTGGAAAAGTACATTTATAGCAACAAGTTAGTAGTAGAAATTGATACATTTATTTGTTCCCCATCCGACTTATAGCTAAAGAGGATTGCTAGTGACATTGAATTACTATGTATGAAGCATTTTCTAATTTGGTATCATTACGAGATGAGAGGTGAAACAGAACACATTCTTCAATTACGTCTTATTAGGACTTTTTTTTTTTGAATTTTGTGCTTTGATAAAGGAAACGTGAGACGACATTATAGAGGCGTAAGGCAGAGGCCGTGGGGCAAATGGGCGGCGGAGATTCGTGACCCGAAAAAAGCGGCTAGAGTTTGGCTGGGAACATTCGACACAGCTGAGGATGCAGCTCTTGCATACGATGATGCTGCTCTTAAGTTCAAGGGTTCCAAAGCCAAGCTCAATTTCCCGGAAAGGGTTCAAGGAAAAACGGAGCTCCGCTACGTCAGCACTGGCGGCGGAGGGAGCCATAACGCCGCCGGTGGCGGCGGAGGAGCTTCTTCCGCCGTCGATCACTACATTCCCGGCCACCACCAACTGCCGGTGTCAGCAACCATGACGCCGCCGGAAGCCTACCCGTACCTCCAGCAATACGCGCAGCTGCTTTCCAGCTCCGACGCAGAATTCCCTTACTTGACTTCAGCTCTTTATAATAATCAAGCTAGTTTAATGCAACCGTCGTCTTTGCCGCCGCAGGCGACGGCGGCGTTTCCGCCGCCCACGGCGCCGTCGCAACAAGATTATTTCCCGTATTTTCCGTCGCAGTTTGAGAATTTTCCTAGTTCGGATTATCAACATTATTACAGCAAGGGTTTTGATGATCCAAACAACCCGAATCCGAATGATGACTAGTTGTTTTTTTGTATGAATTTGTACCATGCATCATACAAAATGCATGATTTTGATGGCAAGTTTCTACTAAATGCATGTTTATTTCTTGAATGCAAGTCTATATATATACAATACTATATTTCATTATTGGTGTGGAAGCTAGCTTAGCTTATTTTATATCCTAATTATATCATCTACCAGCTACTGGGCGGAGGCTTGTAGGGTCGAGTACAATATCTTGTCATCGAAACAAGGTGCTGCTATATAAGGAAATAAAGTTGCACTTTTTTTACTAGCTATAGTTTTGGTATAGTGACATACAAGTGTTTAATTTTGATAATGGATATAAAAATATTATATCACAAAAAGTATGTTGTGCACTTGAAGTTAACATGTATTGAGAAGGAATTGTTGAGCGAAGACTTGGAAGGATGAATCTAACATTTTGTTGCTTTAAGTAATGGTAAGCACTTCATCCTGACATCACCAAGTAACATTAAAGATCAAAGACAACTTACTAATACTAACAAAGTGAACCATTATTACTAAGTCAACTTTGGTTGGCATATTTAAACTTTGGTTAAAATCTGGTAAAAACAAAGTTTATATCTGACCCATTATGAAAAAATTCTAAAGTGTTGATTTCTCATATGCAACCAATCATAAAAGCTGTTGAATTTTTGAGATACGTGAACAGCTAATGCAACTACAATATTTAAAAATTGACTCTTGTATATATAAACATGTCACTTTAAAGAGCTTTTGAGTCAAATCTTCTCCTCAATAATAACCAAACTCGATCTGTGCTATTACAACACTGCACAGAAACAACGTTTTTAAATTGTATTCGATACAAATTAGCAACATTAACATTTTCCACATTTTATTCTCTCCAAATATTCAAGGTGACTAATCTTAACTTTCACAACATGTGACTGCATGCAATGCAGGATGCTCAGCTAATCCGGCCATATGCATGCACACGTAAAGCATGAAATGTATGTCTGCCATTATATAGAAGTCTCTTTGTATACTATTTTCCCATTCTCTATTAAATATTAGGCAAATTAACGGCGAGTTGCTTTCTTCTCGATGTTTGCAGATGAGAGAGAGAGAGAGGCATGCATAGTGATAGATGCATATATCTATCTGATCATCATGAAATGCATGTTGCATGCTGATCTCTCTCTATCTTTTTCCATTGCGTCCTTATCCCTTTACCATTTTTTCCCTTTGGAAAGAAAGTGGAAAATTAGCGTGTCCTGTCTTTCCAAGTGGAGAGGTGGAAAGTGGGTGCCTTCTACAATTTTTTTTGACTAAGGCTCTATTTGGCAAACCTAGCTGAAAAGCTATAAGCTAAGAGCTGAAAACTGAAAAGCTATAAGTTCGGAGCTGAAAACTGAAGAGCTCTTAAGCTACCTGTTATGATTGAAAGTGTTTGGTAAAATTAGCTTTTTGACAAGCTGATAAATGTAAAAATACTAAAAAAGACATCTTCATAAAATTTAAATTAGTTTATTTACATATTAAAATTTAACATTTTGTCTTTAAAAAAAAATTAACGTTTTGAAATAAAACTATTAGCATAATCATGATCTAGTATCTCATAATGAAGTAGCAATATTGTTGCAAATATAATAATAATAATAATAATAATAATAATAATAATAATAATAATAATATTTGTGGTGAAAGTTGCGAATAAATTAAAGGAGAAGAAAAAAGAGTTTTAATTGAGAAGGGTAAATTATGTCATTTCTTTAAAATAATAAGGATAAAGATGGAAAAAAAGGTTAGGAAGCTAGGAGCTTATTTTGAAACGCTAGGTAGCGTTCAAAAATAAGCTCTTATTTTAAGCTAGAAGCTTATTTTAGAAACATTACCAAACAGAGCTGCTTATTAGTAGCTTAAAATAAGCTACAAGCACCTAAATAAGCTCTGTCAAACAGAGCCTAAGTATAACTCAGTCATTAGTCTTCATTTTTTAATGTTTTCAAAGGCATATTGATCCAAATGGCAAATGCAGACCCTCCATCGTCACCATTCATTTAAACTTAATATAAAGCCGTAAATTGGACTAATGCTACTTTTGGTAATCTTTTTTTTTTTTTTTTTTTTTTTTTGTCACGTTTAGTCATTGACTAATGACTATAAAACAAATGAGGAAAAATCCATGGAAGTAACCCAACTTAGCTAGGAGGTTAGGAGCATTGTAGCTCGCGAGTCAAGTTGATCTTTTCATGCTCATTTTGTACGTAACACATTGATCTGCGAGATCTGCTAGATGGAAAATTAAATAAAAAATGAGCGGGATCATTTTTAATAAATATTACAAATTTTTAAAATGAGCGGATCATTTTTATAAATATTACAAAATTTTGTTTATTTTCAACTGTTAGATCTATTAGATCAATGATTTGGATTTGTTCACAGGTCTCACCTGGGGCATGGTTCTCACCTGATTAAGGACATGCACACACACACACATATATATATATATATAAAAGACTACCTCAATTTGAACTCTTGTAGTTTTTAAAATAATGCTTTGATTATACTTAATTAATTATCCAAGAAAGACAAAATTTAGGTGAGGTGCAGCCGCTACTCCAATTCAAAATTTAAGCATATAATCTATTTCCTAGAAGACTTATAATGAATTTACAAATACCTAATCAAGGAGACCTATGCCTCTGTATTTTCATTAAGAGATTTTTGGTGAGTGTTTGACTAAGTTATAGAAGAGATGGTTCAAATTTTTTGATTAAATGGAGTTTTTATTAGGGGAAAAAAAACAATATAGTGAATGGTTAGAACATGTGCATGTTCATTAGAGTGGATGCTAGTTGACTACTCTGACATTATTTTTAATTTATTTATTTTTTTAGTTTGGAACATGTATTAAATGCAACATGGTATGGAAACCACCCCCCTCCCCCCCCAAAAAAAAAAATGTTCTCAAGGTCATCATTTAGACACTTTAAAGGTTAATCTACCTAAGTTGACAACTTTCAACCATCCCATGTCATAAAATGTGAGTTAATTTTGACCATTTGAATTTTAATCAATTTAGAGAAAGTCAAGATTAGGCGGAAAGCATACACATTAACTACTTTTTATTCAAAATATAATATATTATCAATCTGACTTAAAAGTAGATTGTTAATGCATTTGCAAGGTAGTTTGATTCTTATAAAGGTTGCTTCAAATATAATTAATGAATATTAAAAGTTTTATTATTAAAAGGTAAATTTAGAGTGCATAACAATTTTTTTATTTTTATTTTTTTAAAAACTATTAACCAGAAAGTAAATCATTCATCTCAGATTTCTAAGCCACCCGCCCAAACAACGTCGGATCTAATATGAAACTCGTGGCAGTAAAATGAGAATACACACATCATTTTTTTTTCGAGTTATTTGGATTCCTCAAATTATGCACAGAACTAAATAAATTATTTGAAAAAAGAAAGTGTAATCACTTCCAAAATCCAAATCATTCTCACTTAGTGATAATAGGAATTTACACATACACTAAGTACAGTTAAGTAATGTTTGTAAGTACGAATTAAAGTGATTTCAAGGATCGGATTGGAAGTCTTCCACAGGAAACTCATTCCTAAACATGATTGCAGTGTGCATAGACCACTCACTCCTCCCCCATACTCTTTTGCACCAAATTCTCAACCTAGCTATATCCCTTTACACACACTTAATAGTTTAAAGAGTTAATTACACCAAGTTAAAGAGTTAATAGTTTAACTTTGCTGTCAATAATATAATGCAAGATCGATCATATTGTGATACCAGTGTACAAACACATTGGAGAATGTATATAAACCAGTTAAAACACATTTCACGATTTGACTTTCTTAATATACTAAAGTTTCAAGGCAGGTGCAATAAAAATCTCAGGATTAAGATGCAATTATTTTTCTAAAGTATGTGATTGTTGCCTCCTTATTTTTCGGTAAACGTAACCGAGAAATATTATTACTACGTTGATTATAATCTTCTTTATGAATCACACCATAACGGTAATGTACAATCGGAAAAACTTTTCATAAAAGAAATAAACATATATAAATGTTACCCTAGCTAGGTAGGCATGCCAGGCCACTAGTGAACAAATCACTTTTTGACAAGTTGCAATAAGATGCTAGAAGCAATAAGCATGCAAATCCATAAGAACAAATTAAATTAAAGTTCAATCAGAATTCGGCGGCTTGCACGCTGAGAAAAATCTTTGAATTTGTCTGGTAATCAGACAGACATGCACCTCAAAATATTTAGTACCCTCCAAAGTTATAATAAAAGAAAAGTGTTGTTCTCACCCACACACTGTTCAAAATCACGCCACTGCCACTATATTTCTTCTGTCTTTTCTCTTCTTTTTTTTTTTTCCTTGTCTTTAATTTGTATTCTTTTCCCAAAAAAAAAAAAAACATCGGGAAAATCTCTCAAACTTAAATACCACTTGACAATTTCTTATGGAGTCAATGCAGACTACCTAAACATGTGTTGGGTACCAATTTGTGGGCTGAATTTGGTATCTTGTTATATAAAAGTGGTGTTAGTTAGTGGATGATCTGTAAGTATATGGAAATAAAATTGTGTTTTTGTTAATAGCTATAATTTTTTTCGGGTGATGAGAGAAACTGAAGTCATTATCCAAAAATAAGAGCATACGAGGTAAATTAAACCTCACTCCATCTGTGTAATAGCCCACAAGTTAAGTCATATAGGAGAGGTAAATTAAACCACACTATAAGAATATTAAGTGGTGGGCTTAATTAACCAAAAGAGTGCTAATGACAAGAATTAAACTTGTGACCTCCAGGTACAAGAAATAATTAACAATTACTATTATGTAAGCATTTGATCTTATAACAATTGATATTAGAGCAAGTCTAACCATATGCTATATACTACTATACGTTTGATCCTTATAACACGCGCTCAACCAAATCAAGCTATCACAATCCATCCATAGAATCTTCTGAATAGAAACATCAACTAACTCAAACATCTTAATCTGCAACAAATTAAAGATGTTTTCTCAAGATGATCTATAACCGTATTATATGTAGATAATATTGTAAGTTTATTTTGGGTATTGGTTGCATTCAATGATG